GGGGGGGGGGGGGTCGCCGATAGTCGTCTAGTCGGCCGCGTCAGGACGTTCTTTGTGATGTTACTACCTGGAAAAACGTCTTACGCCACGCCACAGTCACAATAACATTTTTCCACGACGATTTTATGCTTTGTTGAGATTTTCAAAAGGACTTACAACGACTGGTCCATGTGCGTCTATTTTTACACTAGGTTACATCTGGAACCTGATGCGGAGTACAAGTCTGATCTAGGGTAGAACACCTAGTGGATCGCTGACGGTGATCTATATATCTTGTATATAATAGTTTTTACTTTTTTTTTAACCGCACAAAATACCCGGCCAAAGGTAGAGCTTTTGGACGGTGCAATAGCATACCCTGGTATTCTAGACAACGCGTTAACATCCATTCGGACGGTGCTTGTCGAGCCGCGAAAAACCAAAAAATAATATAAAAAAATGTAACTATGCAAGGGTGAGCCTTAAAAATCCAGGCAGGATGTACCGACAGGAATGGATGTTAAAAAAATTGGGAAATAAAAAACAGGGTGGACAGGTAAAGAGGTAAAACAAAATGAGTGAACCGCAGGAAAAAAAATCGGGTTTCCCAACGAGTCTGACCAGTGAAATAGGGGTGTGACCTACCTTCGATATATATATATATATATACCACTGCGAACAGCACGAACTGGTATACACGCTAGCGCGAGTGACTATCAGGATTTTTCATACGTACAATGTATGCAGACATCGAGGGTGCAGTTTGAATTTTGTCCCAGGGTTAAAATTCGAAATATTCAAATTCGCACGATACATTGTTAAAGTTTTGAAAAATTCCTTTGCGATAACCACCAGTGTCCATCTTCTTGTAGAAGACGTACCGCCAACGATACTTTTCGGATTGCCTGCTGGTTCCGCAGCCGTCGACCCTTCTGGCGCTCTTGCAGTATTCCCAGGAAGTATCCTACACCTGGAGTGTCTCTTTGCCAGAAAACTAGGTAACCCAGAGTGGACGTGGACATCTACCTTTCGACAATATTTAACTGGTGAGTGAAAATGCGGTTGCTTGTTGCAATTTCAAAATGAAGTGACCAGCGAAAGGGTCCGACCAAACTGATTTAAATGACTAACGCAGAACTCGAAACAGGGTTGGGTAGTCCAGACTGGTCCCTTTCATATTTCCTTGATCTGAAGCGAGGACAGGATAAAGAGTACGCTGGAGTGCACATTGCGTAAGGGTTTCTGCCACAAGGTCGGTAATGGAATAACATAGGTAAAAGGGGTAACCCTTGTGGTTGTCGTCTCTACCGGTAAATGGCCACCGTGAAGCGCCTTGCAATTTACAGTTTTCCCTATCCGGTAGAGGCGCTGCGATCGCGGCTATCTAAATACCTACCTGACTGGCCTCTACCCCATTATATGGTAATTACTCTGCGAATGAATACAAATGTAGTTCATAAATACGCAGGACTACATACAGCCACTGCACGTAAAATGCGCTTGGAGGATTGCGCAAGCCAATGGTAGACATTGTGACCACCTTAAAGAGAGCAGAGAACGTACTGAGATAGTAACTCCCGTAGCAGATGTTATAATTACTAAATTCAGCCACAGTGCCCGTTTCGCAAGCGTTACACAGAGAGTGAGAAAGCTTTGGAATATTTATACATCTTTCCTTATTCATATATTGTGTATAATCTTAATTCTTCCCTTTTCACAATTCTCCATCCAAAGTGTCTCGAAGTCGCACGTGTCAGCAGAACCGTGCCTTCCATTATCGGAGCAATTTTACCAGAGGGCGAAGACTCTGAGCATTAGCTCGTATATCTATAGACAGTTCTTGTACGTGAACGTATTCGCTGACTTTTTAGTATTTCGCGACTTTTATCCTGCCATCTATTGCTTAAACCAGTGCCGGGGCAACTCTCTTAAGTATCTTCGAGATATTTCTTCACTCGTTCACCGCAGAGCGACCGTTTTTCAATATACGTTTCAATAAAAGTTTTTATTCTCCGAAGTGTAGATAAGTTGTTGGCCATTTTCTTTTTTCTCGGCTTCGTACGCACTGCGCATGCGCGCCGCCAGTATGCGTAGGCGACGAACAGAAGTGCATCACGGGTACGTTAACGGTGGCTCTCGTTTATCCGATAGAGAACATTGAATAATCAAAGGCGAACGAGGCTGCGTTTGAAATTACCTTTAATCAAACCGGCAGCCGCACAGCCCTGCGATATTTATCGTATCGGATGAGACAGCAGGTTATATCGTAGCGCCGATCCAGCTGCTCGTCATGATGAAACATTCACGTTACGCTGCGTACGTACCTGGCAGATTAATGTCCAGTCGGTATCTGTTGGGACTCTGCTTTATTGCCGGTTATGTTACTATCGCGAATGGGATTTACGAACGATCCACCCGAAATCCTTGACAATTAATACGGGAAGGTTTTTATGTCTGAATTTCGTGTGGCGACCGTTACGAATTTGTGTTAACCGTCAACTCGCACTGAAAGGGATAATACAATTGATAACGCGTGACACGTGAGTATATATCTCGGTTTAAAGTGACAAGTTCGTCAAGTACACAGAATACGTTTAAGGTTGTAGTGCTTTTTTGAAGAACGTATTTTTAGGTTGGAGAAAAGTAATTTTTTAAAATTCCCCGTACCAAACCGTCATGGCGAATTTAATATCGCGTCGGTATGTAAATATTGTCTATTACCCAGCGGAGTGTGCGTGCTTATATCTCGAGGAATATATTTCATCGAGTCTTTATTCCATTTCGATTCTCTCTCGTCTCTCGATTCCTCTTTGAGGAGAAAGGAATATAATATCCTGTATTCGCATACACGAGGTACGAATGTCAGGATATTTTTGTAGCTGATTTTTGTTTGTACAGGATGGGCGATAGCTGCCTCGGAAAGAGATTGGAAATATCGTTTGTCGATATACTACGCGAAGGCCCAGGATTCAGGGATTTACACGTGCTCGACACCCAGAGGATTGACTAACTCTATACGGGTTCGTGTGTTAGGTGAGTGTTGCATAACCTTAAAATAAACGACAAACCTTCGCCAATGCTATTCCTCGTCAGTGATTACTCGCGAGTGCTTTATTTGAATTCGACTGAAGATTCAAAGATTTAAAATGGCGACGCGATACGACGCCTCTTTTGATCCTCTCTCTCGTCCCGACTCTCGTAACAGCAGTCCAACGACTCCATGGAATCTTCTCATTTCCCAGCGCGACGCTAACTACGTTTCTAGCTAACGAGGCGTTCATTTTTTTCTTACCAGACGACGAAAGATACGCTTTTCGACAATACTGGCTCACGCTTCGCGGCATTTGTCCTTTTACAGACGTTCACTGTCCTAGTTTGCCAACACTGACGCCACCCTTGATCGGCAAGATAGAGGGTGCACGTATGGGTCAAAGTGCTACGTTCGAGTGTCCCGAGGGACACAGGTTAGAGGGTGTATCCAGTATGACCTGTCAATATAATGGTGAGTCCTTATCATACATCTGCGCTATTGAGGCGATATTTATTGAAAATAAGGATTATACGAATTTATTCGAATTAATAATAAAATTGTGAATTTCTCGAGTTAGATGAAAGACGTTAGAGTCTCCCTTGCGAAATTGGAACCGGCTACCGTATAAATAGAGTCACTTAATCTCGAGGTAGCTGCTACTCTAATTATACGGGAGTGCGGATCAGTTTCGTCCCGAAGACAGATCTTTTACTTCGGATGGATATTGGTGTCTCGAAGATGGCGCTCATTCTCGAGTACTGAGATGAGTTCGGAGGTTATAGTGTGGGAGAGAGATAGAGGGAGCAAGCTGAAGAAGAGTGAATAAGAGGAAGGTTCTCCCACTCAAGTTTTTCGTAACGTTCTTCCCCACCATCGGCTCCTCTAGATTACCATCGTTTTTTGCAACTCTGACTTTAATCTCGCAAACTGTCGCGCGCCGTTCGAGTCGCAAAAATAAATGCCTCCCGGTCCGTCTCGTTTCTTCTTAATTGAACCGGTTGATACCCGAACTCCTCTTATTCCACCACTTCCATCTCCGCCACCTTCATCGTCTCCTCTAGTTACCTTTATTACCCTCCGGTTGAACAGTTCTTTGTCCCATGAAGGCAAACAGCCCTTATCTGAAATCATCCAATCCAAAGTCCCTTTCGGAATTACGCTTTACCCACTTCTGCCAACTTTCCCGTCTTCCAGTGGCAAAGAAGATGGGATGATTTAAAAGATATAACATTACAACCGTTCACAAGGCTCCATATTCATTTTTCAGGACAATGGTCAGCCAAGGTACCACAATGCGTAGCCATACTCTGCCCTGAGGTCAAGCCTGCCAACGTGAAGCTACAGCTTCTCGAGCACAACAACAGCTACGGCGGTAGGGTTGTTTTTGCCTGTATGTGGGGACACAGACTCAGCGGAGCACAGAGCATCAGGTGCGATGGCGATGGCACATGGAATGGTACCATGCCAACGTGTTCGGGTGTGTATATCCATTGATGAAGTTTTCATTTGATTGATTAATTTGGTAAAACTTTTAAATTTATCGTTAAGCATCCTGAGCAGCGTGCAAGATCAGTCGATTGTGTTAAATTGATACAAGCTACCCTGGGACGACAGGCGGACCTACCTCGTACGTCACGGCGGCATCTTCACTGTTAAAATAAACTGTGTGTTCAGCAAGGAGGGTTACCGTTGGAATTGTACCGAGGGTCTGGAGTACGTTAGAGAAGCGCATGGGGGATGAACGGGAGAGGAAGAAACCAAGGCAGTGGATGGAACGGAATTGGTTCATTACAATCGGAAACTTTCCTAACTTCCTCGATGAGTATGAGGTGGTGAAAGTTAGTCGAAGTCCTGAAGCCTCAGGGGGTGTAGCTGTAGAAGTGGATGGGAAGGATCATCGGCCGGCGACTCCTCTGGTATGCCGCAAGCTAGCCACATCCTAAGCCTCGTGCAGAGCCAGTGTTCCACCCTCGATTTTGGGCGCAGCCACCTTTGTTCCTCAGACTCTGGAAGCAGTGGATGGAGTCAACGTGATTTTATCACCTGTCGGGATATATATGTATATATATATATATGTATAGTTTAGATAGCTATTTCTTATGTCATTTCAACTGGAGCGAAGGTTGCTAGGGTGGCTGCGTTAGCGGCGGGTTTGGTTAGGTTAGGTTAACCCCTAGGGTGGTCAGAGAGTTACAGTTACAGGCAGATCGTAAACGAAGAAACTTTTTAAAAGCGGCTCGATCGGCCTTCCCGAGTTAACTTTATACTCTGGCTAATAAAATCTGCAGGGTCCGGTAATAGCCTCTACGTTTACCCAAATAAGGAACGTGTGAACGATTAACGACAGCTAATTAAAACTCGGCAGGCTAATTAACTAATACGTTACTACTCGTTGAACTTTCTTATTGGAAATATTACACAGTTATTTGCCTTGGAGGTAACATTGTAATTTTAAGGGACTTCGGCGCTGTCTGGCAGCAGTCAGTTTTAAACCGTGGATATTACCAGACGTCGTTTCAGATCGTATTCTACGGGTGCGCCTGCACGTCTGGCTAATGAAATTCTTGAATACGTAAGGAGCCACGATGGAATAGGAGAAGCAGGGTCGGTGGGTTAATTTCACAGGAGACTGATAGTGTATTTGAGTAGCTAGTACTAGGGGGTAGATCCAACCCGATATAATCTTGACTAATAATGACCTGGAGTCGATGGATGATCTGGAAGAATTCCAAAATTATATTCGCTACTACATATTAATTGCAATACAGCCGGGAATCTCGACAATGGTCGATTTTGAGGCCATAGAGAATCTATATACAGTAAGAATATGGCGGGGGGATTGGACTACCCTACGTGAAGTCAGCCACTTCTTGTTACTCTGACGCGTTTATGAAGCCCCTTTGTATTATAACAATAATGAAAGAGCCGTTTGAAAAGGTGGCGTCAGATTAAAGGCAGAAAGTAGAAGACCGAGGAAAGGTAAGGTAAACGCCAGGTCGAGGTTATACGTGGTGGTAGGAAGTAAGGGTAGTAAAAGGATACAATAGAAAGGGTTGGCAATATTGCGGGACAAGGACAATTTCGATTTACTTCAGTCGTGCTTGGTCATTTGAAAGCTTTGGCGACTGTCTTCTGCCGACTCAGGCAGCCTCCCTGGACCAGGAGGTGAATGAGACACAGCGAGATGGAAGTAAACGGAAGAAGGGGTCGTTCAACCCCAAAGGCGAAAACACTTGTAATTACAAATAACAGCCTATTGATTGTACCACCCTGTACGCCGGAGGCAAGCTTTCCGTAAACGGCGTCTCTATTCTCGTATTCTGCATCCCCTCCTGGTCATGACTGGGGGGGTGATCATACCCCTACCCCGTGACCATCCCTTCGCTGGCTAATGAATAAGGGAAAGTTTACCGGTGAAAAATACAATCCTATATAAGTTAGGCAATCCTTTAGCGCTGCGCTCTGCAAATAAGCGAGGAGAACTTTAAGCCGGCATTTCCAACCAACTTCCACCTTTACACCAGCTTCCTTGAGCAGACTGGGTATACGACGTGTTCCATTGGACCCGGGGGACGTTCGAGGAATCGTATCGACGCCATTCGAAGGAAAGGACTCTTGCGAAACTACTGAAACAAATACATTACGTTTATAGGAACTGTCAGAGTTTTTGAATCTCAACGATATTACACGTTATTTCTCTTCGGTTTACATAACCTGAAAAAAGTCATTCGTCGATTTGCAGAGATCACGTGTGCACCGCCCTCGGCGCCAAGAAGCGGTCAGATCGTCGAGCACGAGCGACCTTCCGGTAAGAAGCGTGGACGTGGACACAAGGTAGGCGCCTTGGTGAGATTCGCCTGTCTGCCAGGTCATCAGCTCCTAGGCGAGGCTTCCATCATCTGCACGGAAAATGGCACGTGGTCGCATCAACCCCCAGTTTGTGAGTATCCAAAGTAGAACTTCGAAGGTACACATTTAACCAACCCCAGATTGGATCCGAACGGTTGTTTGAAATCGTAGAGTTCCAGGTTTAGGTATTTTGATTCCTGGGGCGAACGAGGGGAGGTTCCGCTCGTGGCTTATCCCAAAGATGATGCCGCATTCGTTGAACCGAAGACGCTATGTACCCAAGCGAGGAAACAGATTTTGTTGACTCGACAAATCCTTTCACCAAGTATATATGTATACGCGAGGAGGGATGCTACGTGTAAATCCCTACTTCACTAGGTGGAGAATGGATTCCACGTCCGGGTACACGTATGCGAGCGCGTCTAGGAACTTCTAGACAGAGAGTAAAGGGTAAAGGAAGGCGAAAGAGTAAAAGTACGCGAGATCAGCTTAAAACCCAGGAAAACGCGAGTAGCAGACGTAATGCCGTCCCTTTATCCTGTTCGTTTGCCTCCAGGTTGGATTAAGCCGACGTCGGGACTCATGCGGGACCGGAAGTCTGCTGTTTGGTATCCTTTCTTGTTTTGTTGCTTTCAGGCGAGGTGAGATGTCCTTATCCCGGTGATCCACCTCATGGCAGGATAGCGCCTCTCAAGTTCTGGTACAAGCCCGGTGACAATATACAGGTCACGTGTTCACCGGGATACGTCACGCCCTTTGAACCTGTGAAGAAGCCAACCTGTCGTGAGAACGGTATCTGGAGCGGACCACCACCTCCTTGTAGATCCTACCGGGACGTTTGATAAGTCCCGTGTACGCTGGGACTGCATTGCGCCACTGATGATCGGCACCAGGATGCCAGGGGATCCAGGGCATAATTAATTTGCCGGTAATCCGGAGTGAAGTGGAATCGAGTGTCAGTGGGGAAACTGAGTATGGCGTATACGTTTGGGAAGTACCTAATGGCGGAACTGATACTAAGAGGAACAATCAAGACGCCCAGTGGAAGTTTCAATTGTATATGATGCTTGATGATAAGAGTGACAGCCAAGAAGGGATTGGCTTCCCCTTTTAATTCTTCATGATGATCTTTAGAGATTCGAGCTAAGGTTGTACCGAGGTCTGAGGTCTTAAACTGGTGCGTGGTTTTTGCCTGTTGCGTATACTGACACGAGCACCAGAGGGGTCGTTGGTAAAATGGCGGTGGTGCGTCAGCAGGAGAGAAAGATTAATTAAGCTCCTTGTATCTCGCGCGTGTAAATATAATTCCAGTGTGGTGTCAGTTGTGTAAATTAAGTTAGACTATTAGCCTACCACCTTTATATATACATATATGTTACCGCATATATGTATAAAGTACATAAATACGACATACGTAGAACTTAGGATATACGAAGGTTGCATTGGACGTTGGGGCATCCTATAGGATTTAATTAGCAATCTAATCCTAAGAGATATTTTAGAGTCTTTCCTTTCATATCGATGTATAATAAAGGTACCGTTTATTCTTTAATAATTAAATTTTCTTAATCAACCTATGCAATCATCCCTCCAAGATATTCAATCCAAATACAAATCGTTCTTGGGTACCTCAGTCAATCCTTATCGGTGACCTATGTTATTACACCCAGTAAGGCTGCGCTGCAAGGTATCAGAGTTAATATTAAAAAGAGAGGAAGAGGAAAAAAGAAATGACTAAAAATCTTTATATAGCATAAGATAGAAAAGTACAATTGCTCAGTGGCAATAGAACCGTAATTTTTCTTTTTCTCATTTCCTTCATTAAGAAGAACAAGTAGAAAGTAAGAAGAGGCTTGTTGACTCCATCCAAGTAGAGCCGGATGTTGACTCGTTTGTATTAGCAGCCAATATGGCGCTTCGCCTTCCCCCTCTTGCCCCGGATAATGAAAAGCCCCGTCCCATGGGGATACACTGTCTAGACGGTATCAGGGAGTTGCATCAAGTGAAAATACGCAAGGAGAGACCATTTCGAATTTACACAAGACTCCAGTCAGTCAATTCATTCCCCACCAACCCTGGACAAAGTCATGCAACCCTAAGAGGTATCTAATCGTTACCTATAAATCCCCCTAGCAGCCATCTATATTGATTTTGAACAGACTAGACGCATATATGTATATACACAACCAAGGCATACTTAATATCCACAGATCCAGTGAGATTCAAAAGGAAGCGACTAGAACGTAATTTCTTTGAATCTCCCTGTAGAAGAGCATCGAACCACCCTCATATTGGAAACTTTTAATACAGACGTGGCTGCATACCAAGATGGTCTATCCGGGACACTGCGATGCCAGGAAGCCGGAATAGATGTTGGCGTCAAGGTGTGAGAAGTGGAAGTAGAGTGTCGAGGTGATGAGAGTCCTGTCTCCTGTCCCACACCAACTTCCGTTTCCCATCGCTACCGTCCTGGCGGCCTCCTACTATCAGTATTGAGAAAAGTGAATCCCGTGGGGACTGAATAGGATCCTGGATAGACGTATAGATAGCTACGACATAACCTAAGAACAGAGAGTATCAAGAGAGAGCGGCACTCGCTCATGAATCCCAACCAGTTCATCATCTCTCGACAAATGTATTCAAATATATTTACCCTGGTTTTAATAACACTGCTTTTATTCGTTCTGACGCCATGACTAATCCTCCGGACGAGGTATCGTGTTGTGACTACGAGTAGAAGGGAATGAGGAGTCGCTCGAGTCAGCCAAGCGCGACGCTTTAAAACAGCCGTCCGCCTATTGTCAGAGCAGCCGGTTTTTATTGCCAGAAGTTTTCCCAACGAGGATCTCTGTGTAGTCGGGTAAAAAATAAAAATATATATACATACAGACATATGATACAAAGGATATAAAGTTTCGTGTATTATATACAGATACTGTCAACTGAAATTACCAAGCTCTATGGTCGATTCTATTAACGAATTCCACTTGCTTTAACGTATGGTATTTTTTTTGTACTTCTTTTTGTAACATTTTTTTACCCCGTCCTTTTTACGATACTCGTGAGAGTTAATTGTGAATTGACGAGAACTGTGGCAGTAGGACTTTAAATTCCGAACGACGCGACAATGGAATCCCATCGCTTCGTTTTTTTGCGTGTTGCCTTCGTAGCCTTAAGGTGAGGTTAGGAAGTCGGTATAAGTGAAAGTCGTGGGACAAGGTGGGTAGGCTATGTCGGCTAGATACGCTCTTAGGAAAGTTTGGGAAGAATGTGCAAACCTTGTAAAAGTTCCTTAACGTTCTTGAAACAATTAACGTTCCGGCACCACGTGCTCTCTCATCAAACCCCCTTATACTACGGCCCTGCTTTCTTCGAGAGTCCTACGCCCCTTGGGCTAACGTATAGACGGTAATAGAAGGGAAAAACAAGTTGGACAGCTTCTCCTGGCGACTCATGGAAACGGGTAGCAGGTGGAAGGCGATGAGCGCCCTTGGAAGTGTGGGAGAAATGAGAATTACCAGGGCCGAATAACCCGGGCTAGTTACAAAAAGTTCCGTGAGGCGTTGCGGAAAATAACAATTTGCCCTGTGTTTTTTCTGCTTTATTTCTTTCTCTTTTACCTTTCTTGACCTTTTTATTTTACCCTTTTAACTGTTACCCCCGCCTACCACCTCGTTCGTTATACTTCTCTGTCTATTTGGAATTAATGAATCTCTCTGTCTCTCATTCTCTCTCTCTCTCTCTCCTTCGCTAAGCGGCATCCATGTAAAAAAATATGACGAGTATCTATTAGTTTTTACGACAAGCGTATTTCCTCGGCGTCCCCAACCCTGTCGGAGTTCTCGACGATGAGTGTCTGCCTTTAGTCGGGCGTCGACGGTGCCTTGATGAATTCTTCAAGCTGGTCTGACGCAGTGGGATTGGCAGTGCTGATAAGCGATGGGGGACGGAAACAATGTAGAGGAGAAAAAAAAGAAGGAATTCCTCGTATGATGCTGGGATGCGATTTTGTAGCGATCGAAGTAAACAAGAAATGGCGTTGTATTATTTATATACATAATAAATATATATACATACGCGAAAGAAGGGATGAAAGTGATTACCCAAGATATTCTTCCTCTGCGTTTGAACAACGTATCTCTGTACTCTCAGACGTAAAAGGTGGATTGTATATAGCGCGAGTGAGAAGGCTGAAAATTGCCACTGACGTTTCCTAAAAGATCCGCGAGAGTGCGCTTCGACAAAAAAAAATGAAAAACAAAGAAAAGTTCGTTAAGAGGTTAATCGAGTGTCAGATTTTTTATTACCTCAGCCCGGATATTCGAAATTTACAAAAATGTTTACCTCCAAAATCACATCCCCTCGAGGACTCGCATTTTCGAGTGTATTCTCGCGTAAAATTCTTTCCTCGCGTGCGTCGGCGCGCGTGGCGCCAGGCGTCTCTCGCGCTTAAGGTGGCGTATACCTCCGACTAAATTAATTAAGACACTAATCAAGTAGTTTACGTCGTGGCAACATTTTACGGCAAGAGACTCGCAAAGGGGGGTGGATTCGCCAAGTAAGGGATGAGCATCGACGAAGAAGCTGGTGGGAAGGAAGTAACGCAGGAAATAAGGGTAGCAAGAGAAGGAAACGGTGGAAGCATTTTGCAGGTTTTGAGAGACAAATTTCAAGGGGTGGGCCCCTGACTCCCCCTCCCGAACAAGGGGATGAAATTGTGTAGCTAAACCCATAAAGCACAAGGCTAAAATCCCTTTTATTCGTCCCCCCTAAAATACACAGGGATACAACCACCCGCTAAGGAACTTGGTCATTTCTCGAAATTTAAGGCTAAACTTCACCCTTAACGTTCAGCTACCAACCCTGAGAGCTTTCCAATTCGACTAGACCACCGGAATAGAATTTAGTTTCATGGCGTAATATAGACTTTTAACGAGAACCATCCCCTGGTCCCGCATCCACCCTATCGACCCCAACCCCCAACACCAGAAACAATTAATCGAAAACGCTCATAGAAAACGACTGGTAGCTCCTTAAACCGTGATATTGAAAATTCGCCATGTTACCTCGCGATCTTAATGTGAGGAGAATAATAAAAAGTAAAAAAAACATTAAATTTACACAAAAGTTCGATTAATCGTTCCATCAACCCTCCAAGTTGTATGAATAAACGAGTATAGTAAATTCATAGAAAAATTCTGTATATCAAATTGCAATGTGAAAAAAAGAATCGTAGTACGATTAATTAATTACAATAATTTCGCGTTACCCAATGCATCTGACGATCAGCGGTCGAGCTTAACAGGTCCCTATTACCCATTGCACTGTATAGGGATGTACCTATCGACTAGTGAATTCTGGTAATTTTAGTCCAGCAGTAACCGAAGCGTATATGCATTAACAGTATATCCATCGCCGACCAGTCACGTTATATGTATTTAGGCATTACAGGAGACAATAAGGGCTTTTATCGAAAACAGCCAACCGAGAGATAGTTACCACACGTATTGCTAATGGGACCCCCATTAACATGCTGAATATAGCTACGGTCTCTATTAAATTAAACAAATAAAAAATAATCATAACATTAGAAAGTGTAAATGAAGATCGAGGCGTAGCCATTGAAATAGCTGACGAAATAAGTCTGGGGGAAAAAAGTAGATAAGAAAAATTATATGGAGAAGGGGGTGGGTGGGTAAAATATAAAAATTATTTATATAATAAATCAATAAGAATCGACGATCGAATTAATAATTATTAAAATATAAAAATGGCCTAGATTACGGACTACAGATATATATTAAGTCAAAGAGAGATGTATATATGTGTATGATTAAAGGGTAGTTCCCCCATAAGGGTTGTTGCGAAGGAAGAATTAATGCTGTTGTGAAGCTACCTATATAGGGTGTTCCGAGGTAGGTATAAGGGTTGAAATTAGCTTCCCTAATTCCGGGACTAGGAGACCTTATGCCGTTAGCCTGTAAAAGGGGTGGAAAAGGGGGACTGGTTGATGTGGGGTGGGGGGGTTGAAATACTAGAGGTGCTGGGGATACCGCTTCAAGCTGTGAGGGGTCGGTAGAAAACGACGCCTAGCAGCACTTACACTGGCTCCAAGCATCCTCAAGAGGAACACTTACTTTGAGACGGTGAAGACAATGGCCCACCACAGCCAGTGCTGCGAACCTAACCCCTCGTATTCTACCACCTCAACAACAAGGTACTTTCCAGCGTTTCTCCCTCTATCCTTCCGATTCTATACAACCTAACCTAAAACCGCCGTAACAGGTCGAGGATGCGACTATTGCCAGGCGCACGTCTACTGGTAAACAACTGCAGCCCAACTGTCCTCCAGTAATTTGATCAAATCGACGGTCCTACGCCAGTGCATTAAATTAAATCGCGATAGAAAGTTCAACCAGCAATCCTAATCGCCCTGGACCTTGCCTTGCGATGGATACGCGAATATATCCCGAGTGAGAAAAAAAGCCGAGATAAATTTGTCCAACTGTCAGGAATGATATATACTTGGGAAACGTTTCAACGCCGTTTAGAGTG